ACTACGCGAGTTGACCCAGTAGTGTCCTGTCGCTGCTCCCCCCCGTTTCTCTCTTTGTCCTTTCGGTGGGAGAGGGGTGAAGCTTGGAGGTCAAGAAAAATTCTGAGCACTATTTACCGAAGCTCGTTGAGATTTGAGGGCCCAGACTTTTGGCAATACGGGAGCTCGTTGAGAGATGAGGGGCAGACGGAGCACAGCGGGGCGTGACGTGCGCGTGTGCTTGCATTCCGCCGAAGCCACCACGCCTTCCACCCATCACCGTTCGATTTCTTTGGCGCCTTACTGGTAGGGCACTTTGAGTTGCAGAAGCGTTGTGGTGGATACTGAAGAGCCTATGGGAGATGTTATAACCAGAGAAACCCATTCCCAAGGAGCGGTTGAAAGTTTTGGCGTCACTGTGTTGACGTGATTTATCCGTCTAGGGCTGGTGGAAGGACAGCAAATCTCTTCCGGACAGAGACGTGCCAAAAAAGGAAAAAAAAAAAATGATTGCGCAGTAGCGTGGCCAGTCAAGCTCTTGACATTTCTGCGTAAAAGCGGCTACGGTTAGAATCTCAGGCGAGGCACCAGCCTTGCCTTCGTCTTGTGTTGCTCGCCATCACTTTCTTTGGGTAGACCAGCAGCCAAGATTCGGGTGCAACTGACCTGTAGAATCCCCGGGACTAACAACTTATCAATGCTTCCCTGCAGCGACAATCTAGCAGTGTCGCGTGAGTTTCGCATACTTGCTACAGATGACGACGTTCGTATCTATGGTTCACAAAACAAGACATAAACCTGACCATGATCCCCCATTAGAGCTCCTATCTGCATCTAGATGGATTTTCTTTTACGCTGAGGGTTGGCAATAATGCATGAGGGAAAGACAATCTCAAGTAATACGTGGGTAAGCTCGGTCTTGGCACTGTAGAAAGGATGGATACCGATAGCCTGACTCTGCACTGGTTCCTAGATGTAGCAGAAGTGCTGCGAGGGGGCCGATTGTGGTGAGTTTGTAGGGCTGACACGGCCGATAATACAACTTGATGGGGGCAAAATCGATCTCGAAAGCGGCGAGGCTTGAGGTGCTCCGAGGCAATCGAGTTTGATATTAGAGCAGGCTTGGCCCCCGAAGTTGGTCTTATCAAAGATGGCAGATGAGGCTGCTGAGAGGCTTCCTCAAGTGGTGATTGGCTCAAAATGACAGCACTCATAGAAATGATGGCTTGTGTTGGGTGAATCACGGCAAGAGTTGGGCCCCGGACTTATGAGAGTGCTTATCAGCTGGCTCTCTCAAAGATCGAGACTTCAACACAAGCTGGGAACTTTCTTTGATCATGAAGCACGGGAAGCCGCATATGCACGAGGTACCAGATGTGGACGAAGAATTTTTGGTTGGACCACCCCAACAGGGCCAGACAACCCCCGTCTAACGTACCGGCAGCCTGCATCCCGCCAAGGATGATGTTGGCATATGTCAATTGAAGCGCAACAAAGTGAAACCCCGATGTTTATCATTGGACAAACTCTAACAAGGTGGTAGAATAATGTTTTCAGCGTCGCCTAGATAGGCAAAAATGCAGCATGTAGTGATGCACAATTCTGGGGAAGCGGCTAGCACAGATGCAATAAAGGGCATATCTGCCTTATTCATACGTACATCGTAACGAACTGCTGTCTAGCGAGATGGTCAGCACTAGGCAGACTAGCGAGAGTGCAAATGCAGCCAGCGGCTATCGCACCAAGCCGCGACGAGACCAGCGGCATGAGTGGGCATAAGAGAACCGCGGTAAGATCAGTCGTCGTGGGACCAATGAAAAATGTGCGGTGAAAAAAAAAGAAAGAAAAAAGAAAGAAAAAACAACAACATGAACAATTTATTGGCGTTTATTAGTTGGCCGAGGGTCTGGTGAGCGGAGAAGCTTGAAGCTGTACTCGGATCCTTGGCCAGAGACTGCCGGGAGCAACACTTGACGGACAGCAGCAAAGAACATTTCGATTATATAATATGCTTCCGCGATCATTGTTGAAATATTGATGAGTCAACGCCCAGGGTATCTTTTTTCCAGCTTATTACCAGAGGTGACATTGGGGCGGTGGAACTGCCCCAGCATGCGACGTATGAGTAAGGTAATAGGTAGGCGGTGGACCACCGAAGAGTAGATTCAGGGCATTATACCCCCGGAAAACCCTGATCCAAGCAGGCCTGGGGGCTGCTATTAGGTAGGTATACTGCTATTGATCTTGGATGATATTATATTGGTTCAACGAGGTCCAAGTGGGCTATTATTATTAAAGTGGGCAGCTGCGAAAGGCGCATGGTTGCCTTGCTTCCTTGCTGGCTTGCTTGCTTGCGCCCCATCCCACCCACATTGGTGTCTCTTGAGTCTTGCACAGGTTGACAGGTCAACAAGCTGACCCCAAACGCCTCTTGCACCGTACCATTTCCATCGACCATCGCCCGCCGCATGGCGGTTCTTTCGATCTAAGCTCACGATCATCTAATCACGCACTGCCCTAGCCGAGCCCTCGTCGCCGGTCCATGGCTTCCTTGACAGCCTCGCTTACCGCAGCTCTTGCGTTTGTGCGCCAATGACCAGGCTGGCAGCCGTCTCTATTCTCTGGTAAGCTATCCGTAGTCATCACGAGATGACACAACAAGTCAGTTCGTATCTAATTTTGCACAAGCATTAGGTCATATCCGTCCCTGAAAGCCCTGTGCTTCTACGTTACATGCATGCAATGTCGACCGAGCCTCGCCATATCGGTGCCACCAAACCGTCACCTCTCTGTAATAGTACATGCCACCACCAGGCCAGGCGAAAAACACACTTTCTGCCACTGAATGTCTGGATACTGGCACAAGGCTGCGTTGATTTCAGTGCGCAATCCTTAGATATCGCGTAGCGACTGCCTCGGCCAGCCTGCAACTCTATTCGTTGAAGGCCGCTGCCACATTTGATCGACAAACAAAGACGGATACGACTGTCTGCTGCCACTAGCCCCTTCTTCTCAGCCCGTCCGCCTCTCTTACTCTCCAGAATGAGAATGCAGGCAAGGAGCAGCGCGGGCGCCAAATCTTTTACCCAAAAAGGCTGTAAGAGCCAGCACAGATACCAACCCCGCGGTAGACGCCATACCAGACTCGTGCGCAACGGACAAGATTAAAACTTCCACCGAGACTCAGTCTAGAAGAAGGCAGCCGCGAAAACGGCACATGAGGGGCTCAATCCAGTTGCTACATCAAAAGCAGACTTTTCAGGGTCGGCTCACAATCCTATCACCCTTCATCACCAGCTGAGTTGTGTAGAGACAAGGCAGGGGCAAAATGCTCGAAGCCAGTAATGACCAGCCTCGTAGCGCCCGCAAAATGCGCTTGTCGGCCACTGCCAACTCACTAGCCGCTCAATGAGATGGAGCAAGACGATTTGTCACTCTAAACGCTATGTCTCGAAGGAAACAGGTACAATTGTGACAAGATACTTCTGGAATGCGTACCCGCCATTCTGTTGCTTTGTGCACGTTCACAGGAACCGCGGCAACCATTTTTCAAGCACCGGCGGCGCTTTGCTCAGGGAGCCCAAGCTACAAGCCTCTCCCGCACTTCCCGCACTTTCCGCCAGATTGGCCGCGCTACAGTTTCGGCGTATGTTGCGCCTGACTCGAGTCCAACGTTCGTCGGATGGCCTTGATCGAAGAGGACAAATCAGTCTTCTTCTCGAGCCCGTCTAGTTTCAAGAGAAATTGGCGTTTGGTGCCTGAATTACCAGCTCAGTGTGCCACCGACATCCCCCAAGAGAAAGCCAAGAAAAAAAAGAGAAAAAATCGGACAAAAGTCCTGGGGAGCAAAACAGTAGCTTATCCACTGAAATGCGACTTTTCAAGCCTGAAAGAGAGCAGAAAACGGCTAATAGCAATACTGATACAGGCCTGCTCGCCAGACATGGTCCTAACGCGACACCACCACCATTACCCCTGTTGTTCTCTTGGACTTAATATTTATTATTGATATGGCCTGCTCAGTGGCCTGAACAGCCTTGGGGTGTCTCCTTGGAGGTGGGTACCAGTCTGTTGCTCAGCGGCTATTGCAGTATTTCTGCTCGCTGATGCTCATGCATGACAGTCAGCCTTTTGTCTGGCTCCTCGCCGCCGCTCGCCGCTGTTCACTCGCTCGCCCCTCAGGCCCCCCTCCAGCTCCAGTCGGTCGCCAGTCGCACAAGTCCAATCCCCGTCGCCTCTGCGCTAACACATCGCCCGCGCCGCACGGCACGATAGCAGGACCATGGCGGCTTCGGTGCCCCATTATGGGTGCTTGCAGCTCACTGCCTGACCTATTAGCCCAGTACTGATACAAGACTGGCGAGTCCACCTGCAAGTAGGTATGCTCCCACGCACACGCCCACGCCCACGCCCACCCCCCATGTCAACGCCCACCCCCTTCTCCCCCCTCCTCGTCCTCGCACGACACCCTCGAGGTACCATGGACTTTCTTGAGTACTTGGAGATCCTGGTCTCAATGTGCAAGGGTACTGCAGGCCGTCCCAAGCCAGGGCCGCCGCGCCCCCATTCTTGCCTCGATACTAATAGGCAGATTGTCGCGGCTTATACATACAAAAGACCGCCGCCGGGCCTCTCGTTTTCTATCCCGCGTGAACCTCTTTCCTTCAATCACCTCTCCTTCTGCCTCTCTCTTCTGCCTTACCCATACTCCACTGGGTCTGCTTAGACCTATACTGGTGGCCACAAAACCCATAAGGAGGCAGACTTGCCTGACGCCCACACTACCGATCTCGGGCAGCTTCTCTTTGGCGGCTTCCTGTACGGTCTGCTCGATACAGCTCGGCTGGTTTAAAATCTGCCGATAGTCCTCGAAAAAAGCTCGCATATCCTTTGCAAACTTGCACAGCAATCTTGTCTGTCAGTGACACAGATAATTGACCTTGGAGAATCAGTGCAGACCCAGCTTGTCTACACAGCGTCGCCACGCCTCAACTCCCCAGCTTCATAACCTGGCCGCAATCATGATTGAAGCGACCGGTATGGAGCATCTGCAACCCGGCACCAGGCACCCCGATCCAATGGATATTTCGGATTCATCAACCACGGGAGCTTCTCCTCGTGCTTCCACTTTTCCCGAACTCCTCCCTTTCGCTACAGTACGTTTTCTCCGCATCAGCTTGATTGCCCTGTTTGAGGTGGCATTGAGCGTCTAGCTCTTACTTACCCAAGTTTTCTTTGACGCAGACTCCTTCCTTCCACATGGGGGCCGACTGCAGCTTGCTTCTTAGCCCGGTTTCATCTGTGGCCTCACCGCCAATGCAGCATGTTGTGAAGCAATACGCCATCTTCTCCGACACCGCGCTCGCCCATCTACCTAGCCCTCCCAACAGTGGCAAGATCTTTTACCCGCATTGGAACACGAGCTTTGCTATGGATCAAGGACCCGGCCCTAACGACGACGTCGCGATTCCCCCAGAATTCTATATGCAAGAGCGTTGCACTCCAGATCCGGAGTCGTTTCTCGGCAATTACAATCTGGCTGATGCGAGCCAGACGGCCCTGAACCAGCCTGCTCACTACTTTGCGCCCGTCCCTCATCTCGGCAGCAACGGCCCTCCCATGGTGCATAGCGGCACCGTGCAGTCCGGGGATAGCCAAAATACACTAGCGACTTCGTCTGAAGTGAAGACACCAGGCGACGCGCCCATGTCTGAGATAGTCACTCCGACGAGAACTTCGAGGAAGCGCTCGGTTCCCACTACTCCAGAGGCGAAGAAGGAAGATGACAATTCTGAGTCGCACGACGATACAGACTCTGACGAGGCTTATTCTAGCTCGCGACGCGATAGCAACTCCGAAGGCAAAAAGCCGAGGAAGCGTGCGGCTCCAAAGAGGCCTAGCGCCTCGCGCACCCCTCCAGTCGATATTTTGGAGTATCAGAACTGCTTTGGTGATCTTGTTGCACCTCAGCTCAAAGACAATTGCCCTAAAGAAGAACGCTGCATCTTCATGTCACGATGGAAACACCGCGAGAAGAAGGGTCAGGACATGTGGGACAGCATTCAGGAAGACTTCTACAACGAGTTTCAGAAGGAGTCATGCAAGGAGACACTTCAGATGAAGCTTACTCGGGGCCGCCCTAGGTATATTCAATGGACGCCAGAGGATGTAAGTGGAACATGGACTAGAAAAGGAGAATGCAACAGAATGCTAACTGCAGGCTTCCAGGAAGGCATTCTTATGCAAGCATGGATGAACGTTGAGCGCAGTCGATACAAGTTCATTATGGAAGAGTTTTACAAGCTCGGAGGCTCACGCAACATGCTCCTCAATCCTGGAGACATTGAATTCAAGGCAGTTGTTGACCTTGGGCTCGAGGAGGAACTCTATGTCGAAGGCATCAACGAGATGGAGATTCGGCGTCGCTGCCGATTCTTGGCGGGCAAGAAGAAGGCGGGAAACAGAAATGCGGAAGAGCCAGGCATCTCATACAGGGGCCCCTCCCTGCTTGGTCGGGTGATTGACGAGGACGAAGTGATTGACCAAGTGGTGGCCCAGCAGCTGAGCGGAGCGACACGCAAACCCTTTGCAACGCGACGCAAGCGCCAAAACGCAAAGCCGACCAAAGGCCCAAAGAGGCTCAAGGTGGAGAGAGAATAAGGCAAGATTGTTAAATCTGTCGGTTGCGTTTTCATTTTCAAAATCCTTTCACTACTTGGACGACTAGACTGCTTCATCTTCCCAAAGAAGAGACCCTGCCATTTTTTTTTTTTTGACGATTTAATTTTATTCCTGCACGGATCTTGATGTTTTTGAATTTTTTCCTGTTTCTGTTTGTTGGTTTGTCCCTCTGTTTACTTTTTATCGTACTGGCGAGCGCAGCTGGCTTTGGAGCTTGTAGTGTCATGGCCTGGCTGCTGCTTGCTCGGTACCGGCGTCTTGGAAGTAGGGGCAGGCAGGCTTCGAAAGGGGAGGTTTTTGTTATTTTCACTCGCTAGCCACAATCGTTATTGTCGAATTTGATTCAAACCGAGCATCTTGTCGTACCCAATAGTTTGCCGGGAAACGGCACCGGATAGTTAGAGCAACAGGAGCCCCCAAAGCTGGGGGGACCGGGATGGAGGGCGTTGGGATGGGGCTGACCAATGAATGCCCGGGTATATTTCCTGACACATGCCATTCGTGTCTATTTACAGCAGCCGAGTAGGAGGGGGGGGGGAGGGGGGCAGTGACTAGAAGCAAAGTCTGTGCTTAGAATCTATCCTTTTCTTTTTTTTATTCATTCTTTTCTTATTCAGTTTTTTTTTTTAACGGATACAGATTCTTTTGATGATGGAGGTTGAACGCCACGATTCTCCACACCCACAAGACGTAGACATATCCACTAGTTATGCTATTATTCCAACTCCAACTAAGGTATTTAGT